ATAATTATTCTTGTTGACGGGTAATAAACGTAAAATAAAGGTAATTGATTTGACAGCAGCTAAATAATGAATTCCCATTTTAAGGATTTATTTGTCAACGTTTCGACGACTTAGTCGTCATTATCAAGACGTGATTACAGATTAAATTTCACAAAAAGAAAATAGATCTATCACAGAAAGAGAGACAAATAAGAAAATGTTATAAACAAAACTTTTTACATTGCACGTAAGATGGAGCAATAATCAGCTAGCGTGCAGACCTCTATTATGAGATGAAAATTGTTACAACAAGTTTAGTAGTTTCAAGCGAATAAAATTAGTACGATTAGAAAATTGCGTAACTTGAAGAATAATTTATTTAACAATCATCTAAAAACATATTTGATTGAAGGAATAAGATTATTAGATTGATAATGGCACTTAAAACATTTTGGAAGTTGAATAGGTAGTGGAAATGAATTAGCTGATAGCGATGACAAACTCGATGATGCATAAGGTTGACAACTACTACTGGAGATCATATCTGGTGCATGATGCCACGAGTCGGGTGAAAAATAAGTTGATGATGGTACATCAATGAGTGATGATTTCAACAGTCGGTTTTCCAATTTTGAATATTTTATCTTTTCCAAGTTCTTGCGCGTAATATGTAGCCATTTGAATTCGTTGTTTGGTAGTTATGGGTTCACCCCATTCCTAAAAATAACGAGCATATTGACGATTTCAAATTATTTTAACTATCAACAGATGACTTACTTGTAGAACTGTTACTGCACCGACTAAAAACATTTCTTCCAAATCCGTGAAATGAGTTGGTTGTCCGGCACCACGATGGTTCCCTTGTGCAAAATAATGAATTTGTAATGTTGTATAAGGAATATTGTATTTCCTGGCTGCAGCACGAATATTGTTACTTCTGGTAATTTCAACAAGAGCGTTTTGAAAATCCTCATTTGAATAACGAGGTCCTTGTCCTTCCTTAACGTAAGTTCGAGGCATTGATATGTGTAATAATGATTGAGTTAGAAATAATGATAAGAAGCACTGATATCCTCCGTACATTTATATGCGATCCGTATTTTTATCATTTCAATTTGTGTATAAATTAGATAGCATCTTATTTCAATCATTAGTACAACAAGCATTTTTTGGGATAAATGATTTGCGTTATTTTTCAAGCTATTCAGCAATAGGCATGCTTTATTCGCTTGAAACTACTAAACCTTCGAAGTTAATGTTCTCTCTAAATTTTGTGTCATTGAGTATGCTGTCTGTTATATTCCAAATGGGACGATTTGATGTTGTGTGTTTTTAAAAATCTTTTTAGACTATTAGAACGAGAATTTGATCATGTACAGGAAAAGTTCAACTTGATCGTGATCCGACTGCTAATTAAAGCACTAA